GGAACAGGCAGCAGGATCACCATGACACTCCCTTCCATATGGAATCTACTTTTTGTCAAACTTTGACATGCAATGCATTGATTTTTTCCCGAGAGCGTCTGAGCGCAGGGTTCTTCCAATAGTGGGGGTCTGTATCTCATCTTCTCATCTTCACACCTTCTCATCTTCACATCTTCTCATCTTCACATCTTCTCATCTTCACATCTTCTCATCTTCACATCTTCTCATCTTCACATCTGCTCATCTTCACATCTTCTCATCTTCACATCTTCTCATCTTTTCATCATATTCACACCTTCTCGTCTTCACATCTTCTCATCTTCACATCATCTTCACATCATCTTCACACCTTCTCATCTTCACATCTTCTCATCTTCACATCTTCTCATCTTCACATCTGCTCATCTTCACATCTTCTCATCTTCACATCTGCTCATCTTCACATCTGCTCATCTTCACATCTTCTCATCTTCACATCTTCTCATCCTCACATCTTCACATCATCTTTACATCATCTTCACACCTTCTCATCTTCACATCTTCTCATCTTCACATCTTCTCATCTTCACATCTTCTCATCTTCACATCTTCTCATCTTCACATCTGCTCATCTTCACATCTGCTCATCTTCACATCTTCTCATCTTCACATCTGGTCATCTTCACATCTGCTCATCTTCACATCTTCACATCTTCACATCTGCTCATCTTCACATCTTCTCATCCTCACATCTTCACATCTTCACATCCTCACATCTTCACATCTTCTCCTCTTGCCCTCTTGGCCTCTTGCCCTCTTGCCCTCTTCTTCACATCTTCTCATCCTCACATCTTCACATCTTCATCACATCTTCACATCCTCACATCTCCACATCTTCTCCTCTTGCCCTCTTGCCCTCTTGCCCTCTTGCCCTCTTGCCCTCTTGCCCCTCTTGCCCCTCTTGCCCTCTCCTTCTTTTCTATTTCTCTTCTGAAGGCGGGGGCAGGGGCAGTGCCAACGAGACGGCACGAAACGCAACCCTTTCGCACGAAACGAGGTTCGATCGCCAAAAACTGAGATAAAATTGTGATTCGAAGGTGTCCCACGCAGCCCTTTCGCACGAAACGAGGTTCGATCGCCAAAAACTGAGGTAAAAGTGCGATTTCAACTTGTCCGGCGCAACCCTTTCGCACGAAACGAGGTTCGATTGTCAAAAACTGAGGTAAAAGTGCGATTTCCGGGTTCCCGTTGCAACTCTTTCGCACGAAATGAGGGTCGATCGCCAAAAACTGAGTTAAAATTGCGATTCGAAGGTGTCCCGCGAAGCCGTTTCGCACGAAACGAGGTTCGATCGCCAAAAACTGAGGTAAAAGTGCGCTTTCAACTTGTCCGGCGCAACCCTTTCGCACGAAACGAGGTTCGATCGTCAAAAACTGAGGTAAAAGTGCGATTTCCGGGTTCCCGTTGCAACTCTTTCGCACGAAATGAGGGTCGATCGCCAAAAACTGAGGTAAAATTGCGATTTTTTCTGTGTGTACAAAGCTTCTGTGTGCTGTGTGTCAAAGTCTCTGTGTGTAAAAGCGTCTGTGTGTAAAAGTTTCTGTGTGTAAAGGTGTCTGTGTGTAAAAGCTTCTGTGTGTAAAAGCGTTTGTGTAAGAAGCGCCTCCGTAAAAGCTCCTGTGTGTACAATCTTCTGTGTGTAAAAGCCTCTGGGGGTAAAAGCTTCTGTGTGTAAAATCTTCTGTGTGTAAAAACCTCTGTGTGTAAAAGCGTCTGTGTGTAAAGCCGTCTGTGTGTAAAAGCTTCTGTGTGTAAAAACGTATGTGTGTAAAAGCGTCTGTGTGTAAAAGCGTCTGTGTGTAAAAGCGTCCGTGTGTACAAGCGTCTGTGTGTAAAAGCGTCTGTGTGTGAAAGTGCCTGTATGTAAAAGCTTTTGTGTGTAAAAGCGTCTGTGTGTAAAAGCGTCTGTGTGTAAAAGCGTCTGTGTGTAAAATCTTCTGTGTGTAAAAACTCTTGTGTGTACAAGTGTTTGTGTGTAAAAGCGTCTGTGTGTAAAAGCGTCTGTCTGTAAAAGCGTCCGTGTGTACAAGCGTCTGTGTGTAAAAACTTCGGTGTGTAAAAACGTCTGTGTGTAAAAGCGTCCGTGTGTACAAGCGTCTGTGTGTAAAAGCGTCTGTGTGTGAAAGTGCCTGTATGTAAAAGCTTTTGTGTGTAAAAACGTCTGTGTGTAAAAGCTTCTGTGTGTAAAAGTGTTTGCGATGCAAACTATTGTCTTGTACTTGTGCTATATTGTCTTGATACTCCTCTTCTCGACTGCCTATATCTCATCTCTAATATATTGTTTTGTAATATGGTGTCTACATACTAACAAGAGAAGACCCTGCTCCTCTACGCTCTCGGGCCATCCGTCGTCTAGTTCAACACTCTGCTTCATTTCGCTGTGTCGGGCTACTTGATTCCTGATAAGTCGGTTTTTCACTTTGAACATGTTACTCTTCATGATTTTGAGCATCCTTGAGCAGATGGAAAACCTGAATCGAAACTCTGGATTTCTCAGAGATTTATCATCCAAAACTGCAGCTTGAAACGTCTCGACTTTCCTGGTACGATTCAAAACATGGAGAAATTGAACCCAAAGATTGCGTTTGTTCACCAACCCCGAGTAGAATACAGTGAAACATCTTCTCCGTTGTAATCTCTGCGATTCAGGAGATGTGGCCAGCAGTTCATGTCAGCCAAGAAGCGAAGGCACAATGGGCCGGGTCTGACGAATGAAGATGGCCTGGTGTGGACTTTGTCTTTGTCAACATTGACATGCAATGCAGAGATATCTCGCGTATTTAGATCACATTCTGGGCCCTGGCATATCCTTAGGCCTTAGGTATCCTTGTATCTTTGCTATTCTGGAGTTTTCAACATTGCACTGATCCCGATCCGCTCAATTCCTGGGTGAGTTCAGGTGTAATTTCATGTTCACCATTTAGTGCTATAGGCTCTTGAGTAAGCTGAAAACCTGAATGCACAGGTGTTCTATAGATGTACAGGTGGACGCATTTCCAGATTTGAACACTCAATGTTTCTATGGAAGAATCCAACGCAGCGAAAAAGTGACCAGCATACCCACCGGAAAGATTGCGTTTGTTCACCAACCCCGAGTAGAATACAGTGAAACATCTTCTCCGTTGTAATCTCTGCGATTCAGGAGATGTGGCCAGCAGTTCATGTCAGCCAAGAAGCGAAGGCACAATGGGCCGGGTCTGACGAATGAAGATGGCCCGGTGTGGACTTTGTCTTTGTCAACATTGACATGCAATGCAGAGATATCTCGCGTATTTAGATCACATTCTGGGCCCTGGCATATCCTTAGGCCTTAGGTATCCTTGTATCTTTGCTATTCTGGAGTTTTCAACATTGCACTGATCCCGATCCGCTCAATTCCTGGGTGAGTTCAGGTGTAATTTCATGTTCACCATTTAGTGCTATAGGCTCTCGAGTAAGTGCAAGTTGAAAACCCGACAATAACATCTCTGAAAGTCTGAGATCATGAAAAGCTACACATGTGAGCCACGTTCACAACCCAGTTTCTTTTTTCGTAAAAGAGACAATAAAGACCTAGCGTAAGCAAAACCCTGATGTGCGTAAGCCTGCGTAAGCATCAGCGTAAGCTCTTCCTGTGCGTAAGCTAAAGTGGGCGCGTAAGCAGCGCGTAAGCTCCGGTGTAAGCATTCCCTTAGCGCCTTCAGAAAGACAATATTTTTTGAACACGGCTCATGTGTCATCTATATTGGCAGGTGTCAACTCAGAATCATGTATACTGACTGTATACATCTCTATACTGTCTTGAGTTGTGTATGTTGTACGTTGTTTTGCCCACATCAAATGAAAGATAGCCATGAACCAGGAGACTTGCAGACATCATGGAGGAACTTATCAAAGAGCAATAGGGAGTATATAATCAAGTTTGTTTAGCTGTTGAAGCCATTCCGACTTGAAAATGCGTCACCAAAGGAATCTCAACATCCCCGGCGCGGTGCATCCCACAACGTGCGAGGTAGCGACCTGGAGAGCAGTGGGCAACAGCAAGAATCTGATGCCTCTTGGCAAGACAGGCGTACTCATTCGCTCAGACTCAGATGTGTCAGAAGTGGGCAGTGGGTGTTGGATTTGGACTTGAAATGACTTGAAATGACTTGAAATTGGGGAAGATGTATCAAGGTGTGACGAAGCAATGATGCCAAACCTTTTTGCCACTTGCAACAGTTTGCAGTTTCGAATGGAATCTTGAACAGATTTCGGAGGTTGCTGCCATGAAGAAGCACCTAGGACCCAGATCTCCTGGCGGTGCCCGCTCCGAAGCTATTATTAGGACGGGATGGACCACGGGAAGCCAAACGAAAAGTTGAAGTCTCGTGCCATGCCTCGGCGGGTTCCAAGTGGCATTTGGAGCTGCTGGCCGTGAGCGCCGACTTGTCGGAGAAGCTGCAAGATCCGCAGTTTGTCGCGACTCGTTGCGACTTGGATGGCTCCGGAGATTTAGATCCGTATGAGTTGAAACAAGCGGCGCAGGTCTATGGCATCTCCTTCAGTGGTTCAGGAGACGACACTGGCAGTGTTGATCTCCGAGTTCTGATGGATGGGCAGCCGCGCATTGGCAAAGAACGCTTTGCTGAAATGGTGGCATCTCGACAGAGAACCACTTCGATCAGAGCCTTCGAATGAATAGGTCGAAGTTTTGGTAGGTTGGTAGATGCCCAGAATGTCTATGTGAAGGTCTCGAAATAGATGAAAGTTGGGAGGCATCAGATTTGTCACAGTCTTTTCCGGACAAACGATGAACACATGAATTTCAATTGAAACGTATTGAGACATATTGAGACCCATTATTGATGCACTTACGCCTTTGCAAGATGACTTTTTTCGTTTCTATGCAAACACTTGAATCCAATCAGTTTGCAGTTTTTTCATATCTCTGTTGAACTTTTTCTTGCTGGTGAGGAACGGTTCCGCACTCCCTGCGGGGGATGGCGCTTGGTCAGTTACAGCACCTGGAAACCTTGTTCGTCAAGACCGGGTGGCTATCTGCACAGTGCCAGGCCTTCAACGCAGAGAACGCCCAAGCCATTGCAAACGGCACCAAGTTCAGGCAAAATCCCAATTTGTACGCGTTGGACACCTTCGTGGTGACTCCTATGTCCAAGCCAGGGAATTGCAAAGCCCGTGAAAAGGACAAATTAGAAACAATTGCAAGGGCATGTAGAATGTCGTCATCATTTTCGGAGCTCGTGAATCCATTTGGCCTCTTGGTTCATAGCTTCGTGTCCCACTACTGGGGCCATGACTTTAGCAGCACCGTGACGGCTCTTGACCTCTGGGCAGATGCAAATTACGACAGAATGACGTCAGAGAAGCAGTCTTTGGTCTTCTGGATCTGCCTATTTGCTTTGAATCAGCACAATGTGGCTGAGGAGGTTGGAGAAAATCCCCGGCAGGGGCCATTCAATGCAGCACTGGCGCAAGCCACTGGTGGTGCAGTGATAGTTTTAGATGAGGAAATTCGACCGTTCAAAGAGTTGGAATGTCTTACGTCATTTGCAAAACTTGTGGCAGTATGGCTTTGACAGCGAAGCGTTTGGCAAAGATTGCTTGTGAACAGTATGCTTCCAGCAAAGGGCCCAAACGAAAGCAGTTGGTGGAAAGATTGCGTGCGTGCCTCAAAAATGCAGACATCAGCGATGACCTCAAGAAGGGTGCCCGCACAGTTTTGGAAATCATCGACTCTGGAGCATTTCGCACCACTGATACTGCAGCAGACAGCACGCATCAGATTGAGGCCATTGTGTGGCCTGCCAATTTTACGGTGCGTTTTGCTTGTGTGCATTGCAAGCGTTGTGTCAACAACATCAGACGGCTTACAGGAAGTCAGTGTCCTCGTAAAATGGTTTGGACTAAGTTTCGAAAGGGCCAGAGGGATATTTTGGTGCCTCTTGCGGCTCAGGCTCCAAGTGCCAGACAGCGAGCTGCTTCGCGAGCTTTGGACATTTTGGGATTGCAGCAGGATGGCGCTGTGGATCAGAACCCATGACGGGCTCTGACAGCACTATGCGGTTGGGGACTATGAATGTACGGTCCTTGGGAGGCCGCTTGGGTGGTGTGCTTGACTTTGCTCAGCTCCAGAATTTACATGTTCTGTGTCTTCAAGAAACTAGAGTTAACAATCACAGCTGGAATGCTGTGACTCGTGCCGTCAAGGCACGCGGGTGGCAACTTTTTCCTGGCCCTCAAGGAAGAAATTCGAAAAATGTAGTGGAAGGTGGTACATTGGTTCTAACAAAGTGGCCTGCTGAGGCCTTGGCCCTTCCTGTCGACATGGTGTCTGTGGAAAGATCCATGGCCGTCAAACTCTATAGACCTCAGCAAAGGCCGTTGATTCTCATCAATGTTTACTTACATGCTTCAGATCGCACAGCTGCCAGCCGTGCGCTGGGTGCGCTGTTCGAGTTTGTTGCTGCTTGTGGCGAAGATACAGTGATCATGGGTGACTTCAATTTGGAAATTCATTGTTGGCCAATTTCTAACGTTTTGGCTACTGGACAGTGGCGGTCCTGTGATGAGCTGGTTTGCGGAGATCGTGTTTTAGGTGGTACACATCGAACTGCTGCAGGTGTTTATACAGGTGTGGTCATTGACTATGGCTTGTGCACTCCTCGGTTAATTATTACTGGTAGGGAGCAACATCTTGGCGTGGCTGACCATGACGCGGTGGTTTACAACTTGCATGTGCCTGGTTCATTATCCACACCGTGGACTCTCCCAGTTGGTGCCCCTTTGCATTCTGAAAAGGTTGCTGAAGCTTCTTGGCTAAGTGCTTGGGAAGAAGTATGTGACGATTTTGGAAATGCATTGAGTACAGGCAACGTGGACTCTGCTTGGACCTTACTTAGCAACTGCGCAGAATCTCTTCTTCTCGCACGTGGCAAAACTGGTCGTGCTATGCGCCAGGGCCCGCAGCAAATTGCCAGTCCTCCGTCTTCAAAAGCGCCTTCTTTGCAAACAGTGAAAGAGCGCAAGCTCAGACGCTTCGCACGAAGAGTGGTGGAGTACCAAAAGGCCCCGTTGCCAGAGTTGGAGAAGAAGTTGGTTCGTGATGGCCCTCATTTACATCATTCTTTGGCTTTTTTCTCTTTGGATGACCCCAGGTTGGTTAGTGCAGTGCTAGAATTGGCAAATGCAGAAGCTACAGCAGCGTCCAAGTTACGCTTGGAGGCGTGGAAGGACAGCGTGCAGGAAAATGCCACCAAACTAGGCAGGTGGGTCAAACAGGTGCCGCCCGCCAGTCCTACTGCAAGTTTTGATGGCCCCATTCTACCTGCAGATAGGGCCAAGTGCGCAGCATTGGATTGGGAGAGGTATTGGAATCCAGGGTCGCTTCCGAATTTGAATCTGGGGGACCAGTTGTACTCTCAGATTGGCTCTGCAAGCGATCCATTGCCGGATGACTGTATTCAGGTTAGTGGTTCTGAATTGGTTCGGATTGCGCTCAAAGCGAAGGACAAGGCTCCGGGCATGGATGCCTGGACAGCTCTCCATTTGTGCAATCTTCCCATTGCTTTTTGGGATCAGGTCGGTGCTCTTTGGGATGCTTGCTTGCGACATGGCTGTGTTCCTGCGATGTGGAAAGATGTTAGAATTGCTTTGTTACCAAAAGCTACTGGTGGCATGCGCCCTTTAGCCATTGTCACTGTCCTGTGGCGTATTTGCATGAGTGCCACTCTGAAAAAATTACAGCCTTGGATTGCGGAATGGGCTTCGCCCGAACTTTTTGGTGGTCTACCAGGCAAGGGCATCATGGAAGTCCATGAACGTTTCTACGAAGCTGTCAGCGCGGCAAAGCAGTCTCGTGTCGATTTGGTCGGGTGCAAAGCTGATGTTCGCAAGTGTTTTGATTCAGTTTGCCCTCAGACAGCCATTAAAGTGTGGCGATGGTTCGGTGCTCCCTCATCAATTTGTGATTTACTCGCTGATTTTTACAGTGAACAGCGTCGTTGGTTTGCTTGGCAAGGTTCTTATCACCCTCATCCGGTTATTGCTCAACGGGGTTTGTTGCAAGGCTGTCCAGCCAGCCCTGCGCTACTGAACGCTTTGATGACAGTTTGGGTGAGGTTTGTCAAACGGCAGGAACCAAGGATTTCTTTGGCTATTTATTTGGACGATCGCACCATGTGGAAACAAGGTTGTCAAAGTTTTGAAGTGGTCATCAACGCCATGACTGCGGGAGCGCAAGCCGATGCTATTCTCGGCTTCGAACTTCACCCTGACAAATTGGCTAGCTTCGCCACCAAACCGCATCTGGTTGCCAAGGTGCGCAAGAAGAAAGATTTAGTAGGTGTACCTGCGGATACTTTCACACTGCTTGGCATTCAATACAATTTGTCACGCCCCAGTTCTTGTGTTGATGCGGATATTGTCAGTGACAACATTCAGCGACGGTGTCTCAAAATTCGTTTGGCAGCACAGCACTTAGGCACTCGCATTGCATTGGTGCATAAGTTGGTGATATCTTTATTTGCTTGGTCCGGTGCTTTTCATCACTTCAGTGCAAGAACCATTCGAACATGGACATCTATGATCGAAACTGCACTTTGGGGTCGAAGGGCTCCTCCAGGTAGGAGCCGGCTGCTCTTTTGGAATTCTTTGGGTTCTGCAAGACTACATCCGATGTTTGCGCTCCAGTTCACCGCCGCCCGGGCGGAATGGAATCGGCAATGCCGCCGTGCCCAAGGGTTGCCTGCAGCTACCTCGCCTGCTCCTCGCTGGAAAGCAGTACTCAAAGATTGGAAATGGCGACTTGACGATGGCCTGTGGCACACGCCTGCTGGGATTTTGAAACCTGGGTGGATGTCTTTGAAAAGCTTGCAAAAGGCCGCTATCCATTCATGGCTCGTTGGTTTGTGGACTAAAGACACCAAAACGGATGGTCGATGGCCAAACGGCAAGGAGCCGGTTTTCCTTTTTCAGGCAAATGCAGCTTTAGGCATGGATTACTACAGTCGCAGGGTTTTGACTGGTGCTGCAGTGGATGGCAGGGTCACAGAGCGCTTTGGTTCTGCTTTGAGTTGTGAATGTGGATTGCGGTCTCCTGATCGAGAACATCTCACTTTTCACTGCCAAGCGCAGCCATGGGATGGTGAGTTCAGGAGCGCTACTGAACGTCGTTTGCTGGTTCCACTTGTGGATGCTCCTCCTGTGTTGCCTTTTTCCAACATGGTTGCAGATCCTGCTTTGGTTACTTTTATTCAGCAATTCGATCCTCTTCAGCGACCCACCTTGGGTTTGGACGGCAGTTGTATCATAGCTACTTCCTGTGATCGATGGCAAAGAGCTAGCTGGGCGGTTTCGACACTTTCAGGCACCACTGTTCAAGGTGCCGTGACTGGTTTTGAGCAAACACCTGCTGCAGGTGAGCGTGCTGCTCTTCTGCAAGCTTGTTTAGCCTCTTCTGCAGCTAACAGACCGGTGATGCTCTTGATTGACAATCAGGCTTTGGTGCGGCGGCTTCAGCGAGGCATTAGCACTGGCCGTTGGGAGGGTGACTTGCCGCTTTTCTGGCAGCGGATCAGCGGCTTATTGATTCAGGGCACTGTTTGCACTTGGATCCCTTCTCACAACAAGGTGCCTGACTGGACACCACCAGATGGTTGGATTGATGTTCATCTCTGCCGCGTTCTCAATGCGACAGCCGATGCTCAGGCAGGTGAGGTGTTGCGTGACTCACGCTCCATGATCGCTGCGGCTGTGCAGCGACATCAGCGAGCCGTGGCTTGGGCTGCAGCAGTTTGGCGTCTGCAGAGGCTACGGACTTTACCTTTTTGGCAAGTCGTACTTGATCAACAAACATTCCATGCGGAATGCTAGCTGGCGCACTGTGTTTACTTCTTTTTTATTTCAGGCAGGTTTCGCTTCCTTTGAGTTTTGCTTGGAGAAGTATGGGAACTTGATTCTCGCAGATGGCATACTATGGCGTCTTAACTACTTCACTTCGGTGAGGAGCAGGTTGACGTCCGCTTACAACAACAACAACAATTCGACCGTTCAGTCGTCTGTGGTGTTTGTTTGAGATTTCTCGTTTGAAGGAGCTGGGTCTAGCCTTCGAACTGATCTGTAGCGAAGGTTCCTTGTCCCAACCTGAGACCTGCGGGAACCAAGCTGTGAGCACCAAGATGCTGGAAGCAACATGTGAGGCGTTGTGGAACGTGTCAGCCGCCAGGGCGCAATGTTCAGTGGAGGCCGACAAGTACCAGATCTGGCTTGAGGTCACCAACAAAACTGTCAGGGGTTCCATAGATCAAGAAGGTGCTAAACGCTTCTTCGAAACTTTGACTCATCAAAGGGATGCTGATTTCATGGAAAGCATCTTCTCAGACTTCCATCGCTACATCAAGTCCTTGCTCTCTACCACAGTGCTTCAGCTCCTGCTGGCCAGGGGCCAGTATGATTCGGCAGCGAAGTGCTGCCTTTACGGAGCGTGCTATGGCCCTGAGCAGCTGACAGAAATCTGCAACAATTTCCCCCATGAAACTGAACGGAAACACTGGCTGAACGAATTGCTGATGCAGGCATCAATTGCATCCACAGCGCAGCTCCTTTTAGACCTCGGTGCTGATGCACGGGCAGCAAACAAAGAAGGTGTCACAGCACTGCATGAAGCTGCCTGTCACAACCACCCGGCTGTGGTCGAGATGCTGTTAGAGCACCATGCGGATGCAAGGGCAGCAGACAACAGTGGCGTCACGGCACTGATTGGTGCCGCTCATCATGGCCATGTGGCTGTGGTCACGCTGCTATTGGACCACCGCGCTGACATAAGCGCCAGACAGAGTGATGGTGGCACGGCACTGATGGCTGCTGCTTCAGATGGCCATGTGTCTGTGGCCAAGCTCTTGTTGGAGCATGGTGCTGATGCAGGAGAAGCAGACAATGAAGGTTCCACAGCACTGATGCATGCTGCAACAGGTGGCCATGAAGCTGTGGCCAAGCTCTTGTTGGAGCATGGTGCTGATACTGGAGCAGCAAATAATGCGGGTTCCACAGCACTCTCGTGTGCGGCTGCAGGTGGCCACGTAGCTGTGGCCGAGCTGCTCTTGAGGCATTGTGCTGATGCAAGATCAGCCGCGAAAGTTGGTGTCACAGCACTGATGCTTGCTGCTGCAGCTGGCCATGTGGCTGTGGCCACGCTCTTGCTGAGGCATGGTGCTGATGCAGGAGAAGCAGACAATGAAGGTTCCACAGCACTGATGCATGCTGCAACAGGTGGCCATGAAGCTGTGGCCAAGCTCTTGTTGGAGCATGGTGCTGATACTGGAGCAGCAAATAATGCGGGTTCCACAGCACTCTCGTGTGCGGCTGCAGGTGGCCACGTAGCTGTGGCCGAGCTGCTCTTGAGGCATTGTGCTGATGCAAGATCAGCCGCGAAAGTTGGTGTCACAGCACTGATGCTTGCTGCTGCAGCTGGCCATGTGGCTGTGGCCACGCTCTTGCTGAGGCATGGTGCTGATGCAGGAGAAGCAGACAATGAAGGTTCCACAGCACTGATGCATGCTGCAACAGGTGGCCATGAAGCTGTGGCCAAGCTCTTGTTGGAGCATGGTGCTGATGCTGGAGCAGCAAATGATGCGGGTTCCACAGCACTCTCGTGTGCGGCTGCAGGTGGCCACGTAGCTGTGGCCGAGCTGCTGTTGACGCATGGTGCTGATGCAGAAGCAGCAAGGAACGATGGTGTCGCGGCACTGATGGCTGCTGCAAAAAATGGTCACGTAGCTGTGGTTGAGCTGCTGTTGATGCCTGGTGATGATGCAAGAGCTGGGTACGAAGCTGTGGCCAAGCTGCTGTTAGAGGAAGGTGCTGGTAACGATCGTGCCACGGCACTGGTGGCTGCTGCTGCAGGTGGCCATGTGGCTGTGGCCGAGCTGTTGTTGATGTATGGTGCTGATGCAGGAGCAGCAGACAATGAAGGTTCCACAGCACTAATGCATGCTGCAACAGGTGGACATGAAGCTGTGGCCAAGCTCTTGTTGGAGCATGGCACTGATGCAGGAGCAGCAAACAACGAAGGCTCTGCAGCACTGATGCCAGCTGCTGCAGGTGGCCATGTGGCTGTGGCCGAGCTGTTGTTGATGTATGGTGCTGATGCAGGAGCATCAGACAATGATGGTTCCACAGCACTGATGGCTGCTGCAGCAGGTGGACATGAAGCTGTGGCCAAGCTCTTGTTGGAGCATGGTGCTGATGCAGGAGAAGCAGACAATGAAGGTTCCACAGCACTGATGCATGCTGCAACAGGTGGCCATGAAGCTGTGGCCAGGCTCTTGTTGGAGCATGGTGCTGATGCAAGAGCAATAAGGAACGATGGTATCACAGCACTGATGGCTGCTGCTGCAGGTGGCCACGTGGCTGTGGCCAATCTCCTGTTGAACCATGGTGCTGATGCAGAAGCAGTAGATTTATCAATGACGGCTGCTGGTGCACATGGCCATGAAGCTGTGGCCGAGCTGCTGTCCAGAGAATTGTTTAGATTTGACAGGGGAATCATTTCGTTGTAGGCTTTCTGGCTGGTGGAAGCATCCAATATCAGTTTCCAGATCAATCTCAATGCATTGTATTGAAATTGTATAGCTATATCGAAGAGTGCGGAAAGAAAACGGCGCTGTCCCAAGCACGCGGTTAACTTGGAGCGACCGGTGAATTTCAGCGGTGAGTTGGATGGGAGCTGCATTGGTAGAGAGAGCTGCTTAGCTTCTGCAGCCGTTTGGAAAGGCATCAGATTTTGGCAGAATCCTCAGATGAAAGCTATTTTGAGCAAAGATTTTCGGACCATCTTGGACCAACTGAATCATTCACTGAAGATCAGGACATAACTAGATTCTCATTGTTTAAGCATGTCTGATGGGCACTGATGAGTAAGGAACCCTTTTTTGCGTCAGCAACTGCGCGAAGCACTACGGATGAGGCAGCAGACGCAGACAGCGATGACTCCTTGACCTTTGTGGATACGATCTTAGCACAGAGGCGCCTGGGTGTGACTTTGACTGCTTTGTGCTGGTGAAGGCTTTGGGCGCTTAGTGACTCGCTTGCCGAAAGACCAGAGACTTGAAGTGTTTTGGAGTCAGCCCGGTGCCCAGTAGGTAGACAAAACAGGACAGAACCAACCGCGTCTAGAAGATTGCTAGAATCCTGGCTGGGTTTTGAAAAAAGTCACTGAAGCCTTGAGAGAAAATACGTAGGTGAGGGAAAATAACATGGGTATTGTTGACGTTGGAGCCAAGGCGTGTCCTGATCCTGTGGGTCCAGCTGGCTTCCGCAGCAGGTACCTGCAGTGTATCTGGTGCCACTCGGTGGCCTGGAGCGACCGGATCGGCCTGGAGCCCAGGCAGTGCTGTTGTACCACTTGCTGGGACTGAGTCCAGTCCCGATTTTTGCACGGTCATCAAGGCCCCGTTCTGTCGTGCGTCTTATTTCAGGCTATTTCAGGTTGCTTTGGTTAAAATCATTGAGTATTGCATCATGGAACTACTGTATAGAGCTCTTCATATAGCTCTTCATATAGAACTTTCTTACAGCCATAACTCTGTCATTAATTTAGAGGTGCACTTGCCGGACCAGGTGTCCTTGCTAAATTCCTCCAAGTCCTCCAACATCTCGAAGATGTCGAGCGTCAGGCCTCAGTACAGCAAGGCAGCCAGTCTCTACATCAACTTCCGATGCATAGAAAGATGTAGAATCCAAAACTGTCATACCAGGCTTCACTTGACTGGACTTTTCCTTGAATTGTTTTTGATGTCCTTCACTCGGATACTTTGGAAATTTTGGAATCGGAAGACCAGTTAGATTTGGATATTTTCCCTGATTCAGGTGTTGCACTTGAATCACGGGGATGAATCGCAGCCTCCATCAGCCGTTCTCAGCTGGTGAGGCGGGGATGGGATTGTCAGCTGACATCGCAGCTCCGCAATTCTACTCGTAATGGCGAAATCGGTGCAGCGCACATTGACATGCCCGTGTATCACTTCTCTTTCTGTCACCAGTCACAAATCTGCAGACGCCACCAGGTTCCATGCCACTCTGCCACGCTCTGACTTGTGTAGACCGTTTTGATTTCCCAATGCAGCAGCTAGGCAACGAGCAAGTGATGCAAATGTACGGATCTTCATTGGAATTTCACTTTCCATAATGTTCATCATCTTTGAATCACGATCTAATTTAACAGTCAGCGTCAGCGTGAATACTGTACCAGCCATAACTCGAGAACCGTTGGAAACTTGCCGTGTGATTTGTCGTCAACATTTGATTTGTCCGCAATCGCTTCACGTCAGGAAAAGTTCCTCATTGAGTTTGCTTGTGAAAAGTTTTGGAGCAGATTTTAACCGCCACAAGTGCTCTGAAAATTTTTGGTTAAATTTTGTCGTGTCGGAGACACACCGTGCGTGTGGACGATCTACTGGACTGAGGTAAGCCCAGTGGATGCGATCGGAGGCGCCTTTTTTGTGTCACCTTGAGGGTGTCACCTCGATTGGATGTCCGCTTCCCTGGCTGCCAGTCCTCTACCACTCCCATACGGAAAGATGCGGGACCTTGTGCCAAGCGAGTGTTGCTGACAAATTCTCTGCTGGTGATGATCAAAAAGACAATTGTTATGGGAAACTCCTGAGTTCATTGCGGACAAATCCCAATTTATACTGTAAGGTTTTATAAGCATTCACTCACCAACCGAATCATTCAGCAACGGACTACTTGAGGACTTCTTCAGCCTTCCTGTTTGACATTTTGCTGTTTTATGGTGGTTCTCACAGAAGGAAACCGTGAAGAGAAGTCGTGGCGCTACGGATGAAAAGGCACATTCCTGGCATGTGATAGGCTGTAAGAATCTCTCGTTGACTTTTCGTCGCATCCTATTTCCTATCCTTATCCTTGCCATGTCTTGTTAGGCTTTTGATATTCTGATTGAGCTGGTTCCAGTATGCTTGCAAGATGTTGATTCAAAAGAAGGGGTTATACATGGCTATACGATGTTATACGGTACGCTTATTTGAATCTGATATTTGACTCATTTGACCATATTGGCCATCCTTTCGACCTACATAGAGGTGAGGATTATATCCAAAAGTTTGTTGAGCAACTGACTGAAATTAAGAAAGACATATTCAATAAAATGAATGTTAATAAACCAATAGATGAACGAACTTATGAACAAAAGACAGCATTTAGAAATGCAACCAACTGCTTAGTCTGCGGCAAGAAATTTGAACCGCCCAGCCATCGAGCCGGCCAGGCCTTCGCGCAGGCAGGTTTCAAATTTCTGCAATGTCACAATGACAGCTTGAAATCGGCTTGAAGGTAGCTCGTGTAGTAAGCTTGAAGCCAGCTTGAGAAGGTGACACATACTTGCTGTTTGAGCTTTTGAACCTTGAGACGTAATTTGATTTTGATTTCTCAGAAACGGATAATAAAAGGGTCTATTTCCAACAAAACCAACCACTGACTTCTGCGTTTGGCATCTTGGGCCCAGATTTCCACCGCTTTCCACTGCCACAAGTGCAGAATATTTGTATTTTTTGTTGTATGGGCTGCAGCTGCAGCAAGTCCGCTGCGTTGGAGCCGCCCCATGGTGGGCTTCCAACCTTGCTGACTGCCGTCACCTTCGAGAAGGCAGAGAAGGTCGAGACGGTGACAGTCTCATGCCATGCCTCGGGGGGTTCCAAGTGGCATATGGAGCTGTTGGCCGTGAGCGCCGACTTGAAGCAGAAGCTGCAAGATCCGCAGTTCGTGGCGACTCGTTGCGACTTGGATGGCTCCGGAGATCTGGATCCGCTCGGGAGTTGAAACAAGCGGCGCGGGTGGCATCGACACTGGCAGTGCTGATCTCGGACTGATGGATGGGTGGCATCTCGACAGAGAACCACTTCGATCAGAGCCTTCGAATGAACAGGTCGAAGTTTTGGTAGGTTGGTAGATGCCGAGAATGTCTATGTGAAGGTCTCGAAATAGATGAAAGTTGGGATTTTTGGGGATCAGATTTGTCACAGTCTTTTCCGGACAAACGATGAACACATGAATTTCAATCGAAACGTATTGAGACATATTGAGACCCATTATTGATGCACTTAAGCCTTTGCAAGATGATTTTTTTCGTTTCTATGCAAACACTTGAATCCAATCAGTTGGCAGTTTTTTTCAAATCTCTGTTGATTTTTTTTTTGCTGGTGAGGAACGGTTCCGCACTCCCTGCGGGGGATGGCGTTGGGTCAGTTACAGCACCTGGAAACCTTGTTCGTCAAGACCGGGTGGCTATCTGCACAGTGCCAGGCCTTCAACGCAAAGAACGCCCAAGCCATTGCAAACGGCACCAAGTTCAGGCAAAACCCAAACTTGTACGCCTTGGACACCTTCGTGGTGACTCCTATGTCCAAGCCAGGGAATTGCAAAGCCCGTGAAAAGGACAAATTAGAAACAATTGCAAGGGCATGTAGAATGTCGTCATCATTTTCGGAGCTCGTGAATCCATTTGGCCTCTTGGTTCATAGCTTCGTGTCCCACTACTGGGGCCATGACTTTAGCAGCACCGTGACGGCTCTTGACCTCTGGGCAGATGCAAATTACGACAGTCACGACAGAATGACGTCAGAGAAGCAGTCTTTGGTCTTCTGGATCTGCCTATTTGCCTTGAACCAGCACAACGTGGCTGAGGAGGTTGGAGAAAATCCCCGGCAGGGGCCATTCAATGCAGCACTGGCGCAAGCCACTGGTGGTGCAGTGATGATTTTAGATGAGGAAATTCGACCGTTCAGTCGTGTGTGGTGTTTGTTCGAGATTTCTCGTTTGAAGGACTTGGACCGGCCATTCGAACTGATCTGTAGCGATGTCCCAACCTGAGATATGTGGAAACCAAGCTGTGAGCACCGAAATGCTCGAAGTCACGTGTGAGGCGTTGTGGAACGTGTCAGCCGCCAGGGCGCAAAGTTCAGTGGAGGCCGACAAGTACCAGATTTGGGCTGAAATCGCCAACCAATCTTGGAGGGGTGCGCAGCGCTTCTTCCAGCATGTCACTGATCAAGATGCGCTAGAAAAGCTCTTCTCAGACTTCGATAACTTCATCAAGTCTTTGCTCTCCACCAAAATGCTCCATATCTTGCTTGCGAGGGGTCAAGAGGCGGCAGCGAAGTGTTGCATTTAACGGCGCGCATTTCTCCTCGGAGGATCTGACGGAAATTTGTGGCAGTTTTGTGCAGGAAACCGAACGGAAAGGCTGGCTGAACAGCTTGCTGATGCAGGCATCAGATGCATCCATGCGACAGCTGCTATTAGAGCATGGTGCTGATGCACGGGCAGCAGACAACAAGGGTGTCACCCTTCTAATGGAAGCTGTTAGATGTAGCCACGTGGCTATGGCCAAGCTGCTGTTGGAGTATTCTGCTGATGCACGGGTAGCAGATAACAAAGGTGTCACGCCGCTGATGATTGCCGCCTCACAAAAGAACCTTGCTGTGGCCAAGCTCCTGTTAAGCCATGATGCAGATGCACAGGCAGCAAACAACGAAGGCTCCACAGCACTTATGGGTGCTGCTGCGGGTGGTGACACGGCAATGGCCGAGCTGTTGTTGAAGCATGGTGCTGATGCAGAGGCAGCAAACAACAAATGTCACCCTTCCACCATGGAAGCACCATGCTGATGTAGGGGTGGGGCGATCTGTGCTGCTTTGGTTTGAGCATGGTGCTGATGTCAGAGGAGCAAGGAGCAATGGTGTCACAGCACTGATGGTTGCTGCAGGTGGCCATGAAGCTGTGGCCGGGCTGCTGTTGTCTCATGGTGCTGATGCAGCAGAAAGGAACTGGTATGGCCGGTGAATTTCAGCAGGAGCTTGATTGGCACAGTAGAGAGAAAACCAAATGCGGGCCTGTCAGCGAGCCGAAACTTGGCCACGTGCAAGTCGTGCCAGCTTCATTTCTATAAATAATTGTTGCTAAGCCTTTGCAGCAGCTTGGGCAGGCATCAGATTCATGCAGAATCCTCAGATGAAAGCTTTTGCCAGAGCAAAGATTTCCAAACCGTCTTGGACAAACTGAATCAATCTCTGAAGGTTATAGGACCAAACTAGATTCTCATGTAGGCATTTCCGATGCCGGGCACTGATGAATCCGGAATGTGCAAACCACTGTGGATGAGGCAGTTAGCGACTCGCTTTCCGAAAGACCAGAGACTTGCAGTATTTTGGAGTGGCGCCCGGTGCCCAGTAGGTATATACAAATATAGACAAGACATGACAGAAACAACCGAGTCTAGAAGATTGCTAGAATCCTGAAACCTTGAAGAGAAAATATGTCGATGAGGGAAATCAACATGGCAATCACATTGTCGGCGTTGGAGCCAAGGTGTGTCCTCTCTTGGGTCCAGCTGGCTTCAAATCAGATTCTACAGGATCCTACAGGTCTTACCTCCGGTAAATGTTCTGGTGGAACCATTGTAGGTGGTGTATGGCTGTGTATCCTTAGTTACCTTAGTCTTCGTCCACGTGTATAGGTTTTAGCTGCCTCAACACTGGATTCTCATGATCCTGATGTGCACCCGCCTTGATCACTCGGTGTTTCCACCAGGCTCTCGCCTTATCAGCTGCCCTGGCATGGGCGCTCCTACTTGGTGTTAGGGACTGAGTCCAGTCCCAACCGATTTCTACATGGTCACCAGGGCCCCGTTCTGTCAATTTAACATGCGTCTTATCCCAGGCTGCTTCGGCTAAAATCATTGAGTATTGGTATGATATAGAACTTACAACATGTTACAACTATACTAGACTATACTGATAACTATTGCTAACTCATAACTCTGTCATTTACATTCATTATTATCATTCAATTTGTTTATGATATATAGGTATTGATAGATGCATTTGCCGTACCAGGTGTCCTTGCTTGGTTCCTCCCAGGTCCTTCATCTCGAAGAAAATTCGAAGGCTGCCCTTGGGCTTCACAGAATTTGTGGAGCGTCTGGCCTCGATTCTCTCGGTGTCCAGGTCTTGGTTTTTGAGATTCTGATTGATACAGAATGTACGAACAATGTTGATTCAAACCGAGTAGTGGTCGAATTGACTTCCATTCAATTATTTAAATAGTTTTGAATATTCATCTCTTCTTGTCAGAACATTTTCAAAGTTGGGTAGGAGACATTTTACAGCACACGAAGATGTTTGCGGACCTCATTTTTTTCCATATTTTTCCTGCATTCTCTACACACAGACACGCCAACGGGTGACTGTGCCGTGCTTCACCCAGGCTCTTTGAAGAAGTTGCAGGTGGAGCCAAGGCCGTTCCAAAATATGTTTGGAGGTGTTGGATTCAGGCCCCAACTACCAGCTTCCAGCTAAGGCGTCAAACAGATCTTGGTCGAAGCATGTCTATCGTCAGGATTTTGATCTGATGATATCTGATGTTTATTTACAGCCTCTGCGATTGACGTGTCTACTTCGCACCATGTTTGCATCAGCACAAGATACTTGACAAGAAGATCATAGAAGATCCCTTTGTTTCTGCACTCCCAGTGCTTCCTTGACCCGTTTCTCGATCTGGAAAGGCTGATCTGAGTAGCCTGTGATGACCTTCGTAAGCCAAAAAGATGCACTGCAAACCTTGGAGGGTCAGCTGAGTCAGCTGGCTGAGTCAGCTGGCTGAGGATCTTCACTGTAAGAAGTGTCAGTTGTGCGTCATGTGACCGTGAAAATTCTTTCAGTGACAGATCTTTTCGCACCTACAATCTTTGGGATCTTTGGGCTCAACCCGGGGGCCACGGAGAGGGAGATGGATTGGTGGGATCAACGTGGGGGTTCTCAAGTTGGGGATGTCACTCTGTTGCATTGGCCGTGGTCACTTGACCCTGCCCTGCAGTTTGCATCCCAAAATGAACAGTCTATCGGTTTGTTCAGTTTGTTCTGTATCATTCTGTATCCATTTTTGGCCTTTTCATCTTGGCATAGATAGTTGGCCTTTTGCTATGGTTCAAACTCATTTTGTTCCTCGGAAATTGGGTGAGCACATTACACAGGATGGCCCGCCATTTGGGTTGCTGAAAGGTACTTGTACCCCATATATGGTTTACAACAGCTGGATTTGTACCCAATTCCGATAGTGACATGTCCATGTCATCATGGTTTTCCACGGCTTTTCATGGGTTTCCCATGGATTTCCCATGTTTTTTCCATGCATTTGCTGCTGGAATATTCCTTCAATTGCCCAAGGTGGAGACATTTTTCAGAGATGATCTCCAGGCGAGAGTCCATGAGGATTTCTCCAAAAACCAGGGGGGTTCAGATGGTTTCAGCCATCATAATCTCAATAACCATGAGGATTTTATAATAATCAATAACATATGCTGTTATTTATCATCAATCCTCATTGTTAGTTATAACTTATAACGGCTGATCATAACAGATAATGGCTTAAACAATTACAACAGGTGATAATCTCAATAATAACTGGGATTTAAGCCGCAAATCATAACAGATAATCATAATCATGGAGGGTTTTGAACATCATGTCCAAAGGAATTTAAGGATTGATGGTATAATTCCATTGTAATACACTGTTATTTAATAAACAATGCCCATCAGAATATTGAGCCACATTTCAAACATCTGAAAACCATATGATTATACCATGAAACATAATAATGCATTCTCTGTTCACCAACAGAACTTGATGGGGAGATTGCATGGATTTAACCATCACACATATGGGGAATAATTTTTACATGACGAAATAGCAAGTGTTTTAAACGGGCCATACCCCCGAATTGCTTCAACAAAGGCAACAATAGCAGAATTGGTGAACAGAATCCATGGCATCTTAAACCCTTATTAAGCATGATCATATTGAGCCAAAGAAATTGGATGGTACAGTAGATGATCCAAGGATTCCTGCAAGTCTGAACTTAAACCATCTGAGTGAATTTCATCAACACAAACACATCTCATCTCATCCACAGTAGCATTCTGGATGGCTAGGTCCCAAAAAAATATTAAGGTCCATGGATTTCCGACCATCCGATGGGGAAGTTGAGGAGTCTCATGGCCCTGCAGCCTTTCACTGGGCATTTAGAAGTGTGTGGAGAGAATCTGTGTGAAACATTGGCCTTTCTCATCCAACGCAGCCCCAAAGTTGAACTGGAAGCACCAAAAGAGCCACATGCCATACCCGATAGTAAACCATGTTGGGGCTTTCCATGTTAGATGTAGGGGGTGTAAATGTTGAGTGAGCATGATCCAGCTTGGGTCTGATCTTTTTTGAAGTACAGTCGGTACAGTGTCCAAAAATACCACGGTAGCTTCCAGCTACTGGCGACAAAACACCTTCCGAAGAATTGCAGAATCACCTAGACCGCGCAGCCATGGCGGTCTCACCGACGAAAAAACAGGGCAAAACCACCTACTACTTTGAGGTCCGAGTGAATTGGGATAAGTTGATGGCCATCGATCAGCACCCTAGCTTTGCTTTGGTGTTTTGTATGTTGTTTTCACTGAGCAATTTCGGAATCCACTGAATGTCTTTTAATTGCTTGGGTGATATTGGGTGCGCTAATTTAGTTTCTAGGGTCAACCTTCAATTTTGTAAAAAAACAGCATTGTTGCTCACGATGTTTTTTCCCCTCATCATGTCCAGTTTTCCATCGTTTTTCTACAATTTGACCCCCCCCAACTTATGCTTGTTGGTTTATGTTATATAACCCATTCAATTACATCTCGATATATCTACTTCTAACTCAGCAGTAAATCCAACAATCAGATTCCAGCAACCTACATAGAACAATCTTGATCTAGGTGGCCTGATCCCAAAGGTTGAAGCTAATTCTAATGTCTTGTGGTGCAAAGTCCGAAGCAAATCCCGAGGCAAACCGAGAGCTTCAAGGCACAAGTCTTCCTGGAAGCCACCCTGAGATATCCGAAGAAGGTGAATCCCGAGGACGAGGCCGACGTGCTGACGATCTTCCAGCGGGCCACTGTGGAGAACTCCTTGGCCAAACCGGAGGATGATGGACATCCAGAGCCAAAGTTCAAGCGGGCCACCGCGGAGAACTCCTTGGCCAAATGGGAGATATGGGAGGATAATGGACGTCCAAAGCTCGCGATGAGAAGGCCAGGTTGATGTCATGGGGGAACTGTTGGTGGAGAATCTTACAAATGCTTGCTAACAGCGCTAGCTCAGGGGTCTCAGCACAGATAAAGGACGGGGCGGCTTCCGGTGCGGCTTCCCGATTGGTTCGGGAGCTTCCGGAGGTTCCAGTGCGGCCAGAGGTTCCGATGTGGGTCCGGTGTGGGTTCCGATGGTTCTGGAGGTTCTGGTGCAGGTTCCCAGGTGGTTCTGTGTGGCTGCCGAAGTTCTGGTGTGGTTCCAGAGGGTCCAGTGTGTGGTTCCATGTCGCCGTCGCCAGCTTGAAAGTTGATATGTGTTGACTGGCTGCTGTCAAGCCGCTTTCCTACCACCCTTTGCTGTTGGGGATACCACCTGGTTTAAGAACACATATTTTTGTGGTTCGCAGCTCATGAATCATCAACTCAAAAGACATGTCTCTGAATCTTGCAGATGTTCAGCAATTTTGTTGTAGGGGATTTGTGTCTCCCTTAATCGATATCTGATAGTTGAGTATATATCCCTGTACATACTAGCTTAATTCATCATATACGTTGTGTTCATGGCTCAAGCAAAACAAGCGCGATTGCTGATAGTTTCAGGTTGGTTGACCTGTAAAACAGGTTATCAGCCGTAATGCCTTTTCTCTAGGTAGGCAATGTCTGCCCCCTCGGGTTCTTCCACCGAGGGCACCGGGCGTATTTCCTCTCTATCGGCGACACCCCATTCTCTATTGATATAAGCACACCACCCGGTTCCGACAAATCAAGAAGCTTAAGGGAACGACGACACTTACCACCATTGAGTAACGCAGTTGTGCCTTCTCATGTGGGTTTCAATCATCGTGGATTTGTTCCCCAAGCCGCTTGGGAGGGTGGGCCGCCGACTCGCCAGTTGAACCAAATGAACGTTCACAACACTTTTCATCACAATGTGGCATGTTGATAATCCTCAGGTAAACTTTGTCGAGCAGAGTGTGCATCTCCATTCACATGATCCTGCCATGACAAGCCTTGTGGAAACAGCGGCCGAGCTCCGCCATCGTGAGGTGTTGGCTCACACCGAAGCTCAGGCTGAAGCTGTCCACACGGCCAAGACCGAGGAACTGAAGGAAGCTTTGCGAGCCCGCGAGGGCATTGAAAGTCAGAGGGCCCTTGATGCTATCAGAATCAAAGAACAAGAAATCTTGAATATGGGTGCTCAATATAAAGAGAATTTGAAGCATGAGGCGCACGAACATGTAAGGTTCCAAGAAGCTCAAATGACTGAGAAAATTCAAGCCTACCAACGTGTCATTGATGCAAATCACCGACAGTCACTTTCCAGCAAAGAACAAGAAATCCTTGAACTTAAAAGGCAGGCTGAGGAAGAAAGAAAGGTTCAAAATGATCGCATCACCCAACTTGAACAGATGGTGCAAGCCCAAATGCAACATAACCTGAAGTTGCAGAGTATGCTTGATTCCCGGTTTGCCCAGGCACGTCCAAGTCCGATTGTTGAAACCGCCGCCATTACTACTACTGCCGAGACTTTACATCATCAGTACATCCGAGTTTTGAATTTGTTCCACCGACCCGCAAAGCTGTACCTGCAGCACCACCTCCGAGTGTAAGCATGCCTCCGACCCCCAAAGCACCGATCACCTTTACATCACCAAACCTTGAGACTCTTGAAAACGATGGAATCGAAATCCCGATTTATGTAAAGAGAGAATCGGATGTTGCCAAGTCTTCGACCAATGAACGCCCTCCGGAAGGACTTGCCTGATGCAACCTGGAAGGATTTGCCGTGGAAGGTTGTTGCGATCCGAGCGGTTCAGGGACACAACAGGGCGGTGGTCGAGAATGCCAAGATCTCGAGCCTCGTCAAGCAGGTGTTCACTTTGGACCCCCTTTTCAAGAAGGAAGATCTCGACGGTGTCAAACTTCCGCGCACCAACCTCAGACCTGATCTGGTGCCTGAGATGATGCAGCAGCTGCCCAGAGTGATTTACCATGAGCTGTGATCGCTTTGCGATGGAGAAGATCATCGAGCACGGACTGATTCCTGGGGGATGGCCACTGAGAACGGGGCGAGCGCACAACTTTTTCATTGCCTCGCACCCCTGGGACGATGCTGTCGGAGGGAAGAAGCTCGCGGGAACGCGAGCCGGAAAGCAGTATTACTTAGCTTGCGACACGGAACTCGTTGTTCAGAGCGGGTGCAGACTCTTCCGCACCGACGAGGCGATCATTAGCCCCGACTGGGTGTCGAATGAAAATTTGATTTGTTCGTACGATTCTGTGAACAGAGAGTTCACTTGGATCAATCGTCCTTACGAACTCACCCGGGTGGGTTACAATGCCAAGATGAAGGAGCATCGTGAGAAGAACGCGCCAAAGAGTGAGGCATTGTCGGTGAGCCCTTATGCAAATGCCAGGGCGAGCCTGAAGGCATACCTTGAGAGTGGCAAACATGTCCGAGCAGGCGAAATGCAGATGACCACCAAGCCTGAGGAGTTGCCTCCACTTGTCCGACCGAGAAGGCCAGAACGGACCATTTGAGGACAAGGTCACCCTGAAGACGGCTTCTTTTGGAGCTCTCTCCAATGCTGAGACGATCCGCAAAGGCAAGGGTCGTGGCAAAGGACGAGGGAAAGGAAGCCGCCCGGGAGGGCTGGCCACAAGATCTACAAATGCGGAGGACTACATCTTCAGCACCAAGGTCGAGATGCAGCAGGTGAGATGCCATTTTTGTGGGGAGAACAACATTGAGGGTACCCACAAGTGCCAGTCCCGCCCCAAATGGCCGATCGCCCGGGTGGGGATCGCGGCCGAGGGGGCCAATGGGGTCTTCTCCCTCGACAAGATCGACTTCGAGAAGCAGCCGCGAGCCCAGAGGGCCACTGATCGTACCCGTGCTGATCAGCGTAGGGCAGGCCGAAGCAATTTTGGGAATCTGAAAGATGCAGCCCAAACACATGCCGGCCGCTACGGAAAACTCGGCTTTAAGTCGATTCAAGATCGCATGGAGAAAGATCCCTTTTACCTCTTCAACAATGCGGTGGGGCAGATTACACCAGACTGCTGCCAATTTCTCGAAGATCTGGCAAAGTGCATTTGTGGGCCGCACTCGTGAAAAGAGAGAAAAGCAGCTGGGAACAGGTGTCAGTACAAGATTGGTCTTTATGCCAGACTTTGCAAGAGACATTCGCCTTGCGCTTGATGTCACAAAGGAAGCCATGATTGCACACCATGCACGCCTGTGTTCACATTGCCGCAGTTTGCGGTACTGGCTGCTGATCTTTTGAAAGCGAGGGGGGAACCCACGCCGATGTTGCATGGATGGGCTGGCTCTGTTTTGCGGTCGATCAGCAGACATCGCAGGATTGCTTCTTTGACCTCGTCGACTTCGCAAAGCGCCAGTGGAACGAGCAGTACCACAACATCAAGGGGCCTGAGTACTCATTCGAGGAAGAGGCTACTGCAACTGATGTGGCTGAGTTCCCTTTGGCAAGATCTTCGAGGACAGGAACTGGGGAGGGCCGTGAGGGGTACAGACGAAGTTTTGACCCCATCAATCGGGCTGGCAAAGGAAAAGCGTATGGTCAGCAGAGGCCCATCTTCCAGCAGGCAGTTGAGTGCTGGAATTGCGGGCAGTATGGCCACAGATCCTTTGAGTGCCGCAGTGGCTGGTCTCGGCGATAATCATCTGGATCCTATTCAAGCCGCTCGGGAGGGCAGGCCCAATGGGGACGTTGGAATTGGAGACGGGGCTATCAGGGCCAAGGTTGGGGAGATGATTGGGGGCGATCGACAGCATCCAGCTCCGCTGCTCCACCGCCCGAGCTTGCACGACCTCCATCAACGGCTGCACCAATTCCTGACTCTACGGCCAACACGGCACCAGATCCTGCAGCAGAAGCCACTGGCTCAGTAGCGACGACGGAGAGGACTCAGCAGGTACCACGCATGCCACTTATGGTCAGCGAAGAGTACTGCGAGATCAATGGCATGCCGCACTTCAAGCGCACCTATAATGATGGCTCGGTAGAATATGAATCGTGGTAGGTGTTTCACCTTTATGTGCTGCGATTTTCTGCCTGCCGGAAGGTGTGGCCGATTGGATGAAGTTGACCTATGGTCATTCAGTTCAATCGATTTCAACTCAACTCAAAGATGAACATTTCCAATCAAAAACTTCTCCCAATTGCTTCAAAAGAGTTTGACACCAGCATCCAATCCATAGCGGTAGTTGCACGTGTACAGATGCCGTGTAGGTTAGCCTGATATAGCAGTTTCCGAAACCAATGGCAACAGAAAGGAATGGTATTGTTCCTATGCCTTGGCGGAAGCCAGGCCAACTTCACTTTTGTATCTTTCAAGCACGTGCTATGCCCGGATTGAAAATGCATTGCATCCGAACCTCTATTTTGCCTCATGCACCCGAACATTGACCACATTTTCACAACATGATGATAGTGATTTGTACAGTGATGTCTGCCTTTGCCCGCTCTCAGGTCACTTCTGGCGGGCTTCTCCTTCCGACCTCCGCGCAACTGCGGACGGCGGGGGTGTTTGTAGTATATATCCCTGTACATACTAGCTTAATTCATCATATACGTTGTGTTCATGGCTCAAGCAAAACAAGCGCGATTGCTGATAGTTTCAGGTTGGTTGACCTGTAAAACAGGGAAGAATGATGATTGAACAGGTCGTCATAGTCTCCCTATCTTGCGGTTTCTTGGTGAAAACGTGGTCAGTATAGACTGTACAGACTACAATGACCAAAATGATACAGTGATACAAAACCTTGGGAGATTCAAATTGCTTGGGAGATTCAAATTGCCATTGTTTGGGGATGATTGAAATGAGCATCCAGCAGGCTGCAAGAGGTGCTTCTTACATGGAATGTCGGATTCCCGGATTCCCAACCAAAAATATTGCGTATATCAATATCAGAATAGGAGACATAAGACATATGACATAATCACATATAATCACTAATTTTGCGTTTTTCTTGGAATCCCCAACGATTTTTCTTTCCCCGACGGTTCGCCAGGCAAGACCCTGTACGAAAAGCGCCGCTGCAATTCGTGTGGCTCATCCATGGGGAGTTCGGCGAAGAGTTGGAGCTGCAGAACTTTCCCTTCGACGTCCAGGATCTCACCGTGATGATCCGCTTTGGGTGGTGCCTTTTTCGACACGTTTGGGGGATAGGATGGGATCATCAAGAAATGGAGTGGTTTTCTTGTGAAAAATCCGGAAACTGGCGGGGATTTTATCCCCTGATATATGAGTTTCTGGTTGGGATTGTCAGATTGTCCTTCCAATTCTGGGATTGAACAGTTTTTATGTTGGGAGAAATAGCTATGGATCAAATATAGTGTGTGTGTGTATATATATATGTAATGCGTTTAAAGACTATGTATTGGGGTGATGAACTTGCATTTGCCAGCTATCTTGGTGTGAACAGAGGAGTACCAGGGTTTTGATTCATTAAGCTAAAGTACTAAATGGTACTGAGTCTCACGACTTGCTGTGCTTCAAGGCCGTGAGTAGTGAATCACATTACAGGCAGAACCTTAGAGCCCGGGCGCAAAGATGAAATGAAACCATGGAAGTGAAATTCCATTGACCTGGAAAAAATGGGCATGTTGCTCTATAAATGGCGGTACTTTTACCATTTTTTCCAAAGGACTATGAGTGTCTAGGACCCCACTAGCTACAACGCATGTGGCCCCTGTCGGTGTAGATCCTTCCAAGGGTCACTAAGGCCTTGCAAAGATGATAGGGTACAAGTGCGCTTCATCGACGCGGGCAAGTCTGAGGTGTGGGGTTTGGGTCACCCCAACCCGCCAGAGGCAGATCACCCATTTCGGGTGATGAGTTTGGCCCATTTTCCGTGATCCCTTTGGGACTACAGTAGCTATGTTTTCTATGACAGTCACGAGCACGACTTGTTTGTTAGTCTTGAGGATCTTGAGGTTGTATTTCGAGTTTATAGTGTAGTTATGTGTAGATTTGATTTGGGATATTTGGGTTTCAATCCACTGCTCACGATCAAACAAAACTCTTCAGAGTACACCTTCGGGGAGCCAGTGGAACATGCACACCTTTGGACATGGTTGGACACGCCCGCCGCAGGTTTTCCTCAACGTTTTCTGCCTGAAAAATGCGTGGACTCAGCCGGAGGCTGTGGATGTCCACTTTGGATTCACCAAGACAAAGGGCGAGAAATTAGAGCAGTTCCCGCTGATTCGCATCCGATGTCAAGTGGGGCGAAAACCAAAGCTGCCTGGCACAGCAGTTGGATGTTTTTTGTTGGACTGTTTGTTGGTTTCTGATGGTTACTGTGTATGGCAAGAAGATTGAGTCAGCTTCGAAAAGGGATCGAGGCGTGCGTTTTTTGTTGATTCCTCGACTAGCTGGAGTGTTTGTCGAGCTCAAAAAATCAAGAAATTACTTCAAGTCACACTCCATTAATCTTCATTATTTGGGGTTTGTATGAAAATAGGGCAACCCCCCAGTCCAGATGGTGGTCATCATTCTTCCAATCAATATTTCCTCATTTTCAGACACAGCACCCATACCAAATAGTTTAGCTATATTTAGCTAAGCTCCAAATACCTAGATCTTCGTTTGAGGCACTTTTTGCAGAAAGTATCCTTTTCTGTGCTGCGGCGCAATTCCAAACTTATGGCATTTTTGGGTTTCTGTTGGGTTTCTGTTGGGTTTCTGTTGCGACATTCTGTTTTGCTTCTAAATAAAACTATGCAAGAAGCTGCAGCGCGTGGTTTCAGTAAGTTTTCAGGGCCTCATTTCATCCTGGTCAGAAACTTTGACTCACTTATCCCAATGCAAACTGGATCAAGCTGGTAGTATTTCGGACAAGTCCGACCGAAAGTTGTCTGGGGATCAATGTGCAAGTTTTCCGCACATCCCGGCACATCCCCGGTCAGGTCAAGCAAAAAATGTCTTAGACTTGTGGCGTACTTGAGGCATATTTTGGCGTTATTGCGGGCGGAATTTGGCGGGTTTGCCGCATAGGTTGTTGCTTTTGTCAATTCCCCGCATTGATGTGGCCGCAGCGTTCTCCTTTGCCATCTGCAGCAAACTTGGTTGCATCTCTTTGCCTTGCAGCTAACTAAACAAAGTCTGATGCGTGCCATGACATAGCCGAGAGACTAGGAGAAGCTGAACCCTAGCAGAATGTGTTGTTGCTGAGCATTTAAGCAAGATGTTATCAGCAAAGATGGTTCTGATTTGCGACATTTTTGTGCTGCCACGTGTTTTTTTTCCTGTGTTGCGTTTTTTTCTTGCATTACCACAAAAATAACAGCCACAATGGATTGCGGCATTTTTTCGTGGATCTAGGTGTGTTCAACGGCTCTAAATCTCACACCCCGGCGGACTGGTGCCTGGAATTTCACCCAACTGGTTGGGACATGTTGGGACATTCATCATTCACCAAATACTTGGATTGCTGAAGGTGTTCATTTTCTGCTTGGTATAATTGGGATATAAATTATAAATGGGATACATCACCAATGAACAATCTATAGGATTTGCTGACTGATGATTTGGACATACTTGGACTATCTTGGACTATTTTCTCATGGGCAAATCGACCATGACAGGGGAATCTATTGGGCATATCATGGCATGTTCCTTTGTCCTTTACCCTTTCGGGACCGCCTTGTATAAATGAAATGTCCAGTCAGGTTCTACTTGGTCAATGTGATCTTGCCTGTGGCTTCCATCGTTCTCGCAAGTGCCTCGTCGCTGGCAGTCTCCCATGATATGGGTGGGCGACTGGGGGCTACCTTGACATTATTGCTGACGGCAGTGGCCTACAAGTACCTTGTGGCAGAGATGGTGACTCGACTGCGATCAAGGTCAACAAAGAAGAAAGAACATGAATTCAGAAGATACTGGTAGAACGCATTAGAAAACGATCTATAGATTTAAATTCATATAGTTTGCCCCTCGGTGAACACCAGCTATTCAGGTGCCGAGGATCAGCTACAACACCATGCTGGATTGGTACGTCCTTGTTTGCTGGGCCTTTCTACTGGCGATGGTCTTGGAGAATTGTTTTGTGAAGGGCAACCAACCCAAGGTCTGCGTCATTTTCAGCGGCTCAGCTTCAAGCCATTCATATGGGGCCCGCAGTGACCACCAGATGTAAGTGGGGTTATGTACTGTGCCCACAATTGCGGGAAGTGTGGGGATAGCAACCGACTGAAAAGTAAATGTGGCCCATCAGTGCATGTAGCTTTGCCCATTTGCTGATGTGATAAGGTGTGCTCTTTGGTGTCTTCAACGTGGGGTTTGCAGTGCGTGCTCGCTGCATCTACAACTCCGAGCGGCAGCGCTTGAAAAAAGTGCCTAGTCCACAGCCTCCGTCAGCGGGCTACCGAAAACCCCGTAAAAACGCACGCTCCGACTCTGAGTCCGACACGGATGAGAACGAGAGTGACTGTGAGGATGACTTCAACATGGAAGACCCTCAGGGGCTGACTTTGACTGAAGAAGATGTGATGAAACTCTTGGAGAAGAACAACATGTCTCCAATGAGCAGTCGGTCGACCGCCAGTGGCTACATCCGCAACTGAAAGCGTTGGATTTTAGACGCAGCTTGGCACCCCGAAGGGGTCCCTTGATCAAGGCGCCCTGGGGCGTCCTGTGGCCTTAATTACCAATGTTACTATCATTATTTTAGTGTGCTTGCTTGGAGCAAATGATTCTATGCCCTGAAGCTTCGAAATGTCTTAAGACATGGCTTTTGGAGCATGGAGGTCCAAATGGTTGCTGAGCAACAATGGATATTGCTGCTATTGCTTGAAAGGCCAATTCAGTACTTGACCTTTGCGCATTCCGGTGAAAGAGAGCGAGAGATCGAGCATTTGGCTGGCCATTTCTCTTGAATCTGCCATGTCTTACCAAAGCCTGCTTGAATAGGAGTGCGCAGCCAAACGTGCTGCTTCCCTGTTCAACATTGTCTTCGTGATGGAGACCCAGGCGAATCTGGGTCAATGAACCGCAACCAAAACGCAACTGAACAATGAGGCTTTTAGCTTTTCTAATGAAGAACCGCATGCGTTGGATCCACAGTCTCTGTTTTTGCACTTTCTGGCCTTGGTTGTCTTATGAGTCCACGGTTTTCTGCACCTAAGCGAGAATGCTTGGAGGCAAACAAAGGCTTTGTACAAAGCAATTTCTGGAAAGGCGGTTTCATATAGTTCTATCTCATCTCATTTGGGTGTGCCTGAAATTGGGTATAATACCGTATATACCACCAATTTCAGACAAAGCCGAGCAGACAGACGTTTTCAGCAGAGTGCTCCAACATTTGATCAATCTTTATCATGTTTCTTCCGGCACCCAGTCTGCCAGTCTCCTCAGTGTGATTACACAGCAGTCCTTGGCATGGTCAATGTGGCTTTCTTCCCACCAACTCCCATCTTTCTCAGGATGTTGTACAACCCACCAGGTTGTGGTGGCAAGGTATCCATGGTTGTACCTGTTGTGACCCGAAAGCAGTAAAGGCCATGAATTGAATACCAAAGAATATCAATGAATATTGAAACACATGATTCCTTTCCAATTAGTTATTGTGAATAGCATGTAGGCCAGATTCAACCAAACACTTTTCCAGTTGCCTGCGCCGGGGAACAACCGATAACTACCCCGCTGCATGGCTCAAGAACTACGCACTCCGCTCAAAGGAAAACCAATGGTCCGACGCTGCGCTTTGGGACTTCAGCATTGAGTATAAGGAATACACGAGACACACTGAACCCTGTGTCCTCTCACAGGTTATCAGCTGTACGCTCTCTCTGGGCATACGAGCGCACTTACCTGGTTGGTTGGTTCCCCACTCCGGTGGGCGGCACAACCATTGGCTCGGACATTGACTTGGGCATCCTGCTCTACTTGACCTACTACAAGTCGTTGGACTGTGGTAAACGGAAGTAACCTGTTGCAGAGAAGCTGGAGCAATGTCTCAACAACCGCAGTCGAGCAGCAACGAGGCTCACATTCCCTTTGCGGCGCCGGCGGCAATCACCGACACGCCGGGGTCCGTGGAGAGCGGTGGTGGTGGTACAGTATCATTTGTAGCACCGAGTAGTGGCACCTCTACAAGCAACTTCACAATGGTAAGCAACGTGCCAACGATGAGAGGAAGTTCCAGGCGGTCGAATTCGGCGAGATCCGCAAGGCCGCGCCGATCTTCTTCTGCCACTGAGGACGCCAGTGGCCTCGGTCAGACGACCGTGGCCACACGCGAGGGTGAAGCATGCCGATCGGCGGCTTCGTCCAAGCGCAAGTCCTCTGGCAGTGCGACCCGGAACGAAAGTGAACTTCGTCTACGAAGACAACTACAACACAGCAACAAGAAGCTGGATCGAAGTGAACAAGCAAGGACTGAACTTGAGGGCAGATGGAAATTATTGTTTCAGGATGTTCTCAACCATCGTGATCAGATGATTCACAACATAGAGGTCTATTCGCATTAACATTCTGAAGAATATCAAGAACATGTCAACACGGAATTGGAGTACATGAGAGCTTCCTTATCCAATGCCTCCAACATGTTGAATGAGCAATCCCAAGCGCTTGCTGAGGCTCATCTCAGTGACGAAGGTTCCACCACAATGAGGATCATCGAGCTTGGGAAGCGTGGGGAACTTGCAGAGCAAGGCACTGCCCACATCATTCAGGAGAGCATTTTGCAATGAGGGAACGCTACCATTCCGAGTTGGAGGGTGCAGTCCGTCAGATTCGTGAACAACAAGAACAGTCTGAGAATGCAGCTGCACAATGTCGCCAAAATGGTCAACAACTACATGAGGCATGCATACAGTATGTCAACGAGAGGGAGAAGGCGAACAAGGAAGAGATGGAATCTTTAGCGGTGACGCTGAGAGGAATTCTCAGGAACTGACTATGAACAACAAGATGGTCATGGAACACGGACGACAAGTAGTCGCAGTACTCTAACCCCTCGTCGCCCAAACTGGGAAACTTAACGCATGCCACGCAAATATCATACTCCACATATCTGAGCGAGATCGCGCTCCCGGTGAAGTTCTTTATGGGGAGGAGAACTATCAGAGAGGCTTATTCAGATAAAGCCAGACAGTTTGTCAAAGGCATGAATGCTCTCAACATTCCTTTTGATCATGCATTGCCGGGAAGGCCATCAACGAACTCCTTGGCTGAGCGCAACAACCAGTTCGTCATTGCAACTACGGCTACATGTCTGCTCGAGGCCGGACTACCAGCGTGTTTCTGGAAGTTCGCCATCCGATGTGTATGTCACCTTCTGAATGTCGAACCTGGGGAAGACGATGTGAGCGCATGGTGCAAACTCCATGGAAGCGAGTTCAAGGGTGAGAAGATTCCCTTTGGTGCATTGGTGTACTTCAAGCCGAGTGGAGCAAGAACCAATGAACAAGCTCACAAGTTCGACCCCAAGGGCATTCCTGGTATCTTTGCAGGCTACGAGATCGCACCTGGTGTAAACTGGAGGAGACAGTATATGGCGTGGGTGTTGTCAGACATGACAAAGCAGAACTACTCGTTCAACACCAAGACCATCATTGAGAAGCTGTGGTATCCTCACCTCACTGAGAAAATCGAGGTACATTATCCTCTGACGTTCCCATGCAAAGAGATCTATGATAGAAGGTGAACACAACATTGGAAGGGCTGGCAGTGAAAGATCATCTTGAAGGTTCTCCGGATTCATCGAAGATCAACAAGACGATGATGATGACGATGATGACGACGATGATGACGATGAAAGCGACGACAAGCCCAAGAACGTCAAAAAGTTCAACAAGGCAGAGAATCAGGAAGATGAATTCGACCGAATGATCAAAGAACTAGACAACAAGCTCGACGAAGAGAGCAAAGACAAGGTCGAAGTTGTGGGCGAACCTCCGCTACCTCCTCCTGATGGTGAACCTCCTTATGACGGACCAGAACATCACTCGATGGGCAAACCTGGTGACGGCATCATCTACCTCAGCGACATCGGCGAGCATGTCAAGCTCGACAAACGTGGCAGACCTTGTCGTGTCTGTCCCGATGGTCGCAAAGAAGTACGAGGATCACCAAGGCCAAAGAGTAGCTACAGTCCTGAAGAGTGGAGGGCACTTTCTGCCAAGGAGAGAGATGTCATCATTCGTCGTGGCAAGCTGGAGGCCGAGGCTGAGAAGCTCAAAGAGATCAAGTTGAGGAAAGAGAAAGAGAAGAAGGCAGAAGAAGAAGTCCGACAAGAGTTCACACAAAGATCCACCAAAAGATGAAGTCAGAAAGAAAAAGGAAAGAAATAAGAGGTCGAAGGAGAGCTCAGGCGAAGATGGCAGCAAGGACGCTGCCGTTGGGATGGGAATGTTCTAAGGTGAATGGGTACGGCCCATGAGCCGAAGGGACTGAACCGGACCAAAGTGGATCTAGGTGAAGGGGCACGCCACACGACGGGTCCTGGATCCGAGAGACACAACAAGTTTAAGAAGTACTACAATGCCTCTCCGTCGACTCCCAGTGAGACGAGCACCAACATCCCAAATGATGATGATGGTCAAGAGTTCTTGAATGATTGGGATGAATGGTCCGAGCATGAAGTTGGAAACAGACCAAGAGCTCGCTGGGAAGACATCCACTATGACTTCAACACCGGGAAGATTGTCACACCTGCCAATGCTGCACCAATTGCTCCTACCTCAAATGACTCCGATGGCAAGTCCAAGGTCAACCACATCGTGAAGTCAATTCCTTGCATGCCTTGTGTTCACCAAGACTTTGAGCATCGCGAGAAGTTCAGTCAAAGTGATATGAGGTTCGGGAAGTTGTTCAACGCGATGGTCTCAAGGCCAGTTGGCCGCAAGGAGATGATGGAAGACCCGGATGCATCCGGATGCTAAGGTTTCAATGAGGAGTGGGTCATCACAAGCAAGGGGTGTACGATTTCTCCATTGTTCGTGAATTTGATGATGTTGTTGGTGAAGCCAAAAGAGAAGGTAAAGAAGTTCACATGGCACGAGTTCACGGCATTTGTGTCGAGAAGAACTACCAGTTGCCGAAGGGAAGCCCTGGAAGAAAGTTCAAAGGTCGAGGCGTCCTACTTGGAAACCAAGTGAAGAACCAGCATTGGGAGGCCGCATTCTTTCAAGATCTCGGCAGCTCTCCTGCTACGTTCGAAGCTTCCCGATGGGCAGACTTCTATGGTTGCATCCTCGGGCATAACGTGAAGTTGGCAGATGCCATTCAAGCCTACATCCAAGCGAGGCTCACGGGACCTCCTTGTTGGGTCGAACTCCCTGAAGATGCGTGGCCTGACGACATCGATACGCGGAAGTTCAGACGGCCGGTAGTGCGACTTGTCAAAGCACTTTATGGTCACCCTGATGCGGGCACAATGTGGGAACAACATTGTGATACTCATGTTCGAGAGGTTGGGTTTATGCCAGTTGGGGAAGAATGGCCTTCAATGTACTACCACAAAGAACTGAAGTTACTTTTGGTAATCTATGTCGACGATTTGAAGTTGGCAGGACCGTCACAGAACCTCACCAAAGGTTGGGAGTTACTGAGGTCCAAATTG